GCTGTATAAGAATGCCTTGGTCTCGAAATACATTGTGTAAAAAAAGTAGTATTTTCAGTAGTTTATCTAGGGGACAGCCAAATCCCCTGTAAAGTTTGCAGTAGAATTTTTCCAGACCACATCAAACTTACAATTATTCCAAACAGAGCTATATGTTTTTAGAAGCGTGCTGAAAATAACTTATGGTTAACTACACATACAGTAGCCTACTGCATTTATTTCTTTACATAAGCAACAGATGCACATAAAACTGACTTGTAGGCTCAGTAAATATGCTAATATAAGAGTACAAAATATTACTGAGTCTCATTGCAATTCTGTAATTAAGAGTGCAGAAAAAAAAACTTACTGGATATTCATCAGACATTGAATAACTAATGACACTGATTTTCACATAAGCAAGATTTTGAGTTCCTCAGAAATCTACTCTAGGATAAAAAAAGACTGCAGGGTTTTTTTTAGATTTTTATTCTGCCTTTATTGTTTTTTATAAATAAGTCAAGGTGATGGATATATCTAATATTCATTCTTCCACCTTCCTCCCCCCATGACAACAACGCTGTGAGGTCAGTTGAGCTGAGAGAGAGTAACTCAGGCATGTCAAACTGCCGCCCACGGGCCGGAAGCGTCATGCCGAAACTGCGCCCACCCCATTGCCGGCAATGAGGAAAAAGTTGTGATATGTCGTGCGACGTCACGTGACGTTGTGGGTTTGACATGCCTGGAGTAACTGGTCCAAAGTCACCCAGCTGGCTTTCGTGCCTAAGGTAGAACTCAACAGTCTCCTGGTTTCCAGGCAAGCATCATAACCACTACACTAAATTTGGTTTATGGAACTGATACGGGACTATACAATTCTGAGCCGCATAGAACAGTGGTTCTCAACCTTTTTAATGCCGCGACCCCCAACTGGTCGTTAAGTCGAGGACTACTCAACCGGTCGTAAGTCGAGGACTACTCAACTGGTGCAGCACCCTTTGCAGAATGGGACTTTTGGCGGGCTCAGCAGGGCAGAGACAGCCTGGACAATTCCTATTGGCTTTTGAAAGCCAATAGAATTAGACTCTATTCAAGAGAGTCTATTCTATTGGCTTTCAAAAGCCAATAGAATAAAAGGGAGTAGCACAGCTAAGGAAAAGGGGAAAAAAATGGTGGACTGCATTGTTTGGCGACCCCTGTGAAATGGTCGTTCGACCCCAAATGGGGTCCCGACCCACAGGCTGAGAACCACTGGCATAGAATTTATGCATAGAGAGTATAAAGAGGAACAAATTACTTTCACGCTCTGCATACTGGACTGATTAATGAAACGGACAAAGGCTTGTTCAGAAGAAACATAAATTATCAGACTGATTATTCTGCTCAGAAGCAATATAATTCTTGCTTCACATGAAGTAAAGCCACTGGTGATAACTATATCTGCTCCATGTGGTATTATGGTGTGTTTAATCATATTAATAAGCCAACTGATTACTTCTGACTAAAATGCTGAGCCAAGCAGACTCAACTACGTAGCTTGCATCCTTGATTTTACTTCCAAGTAAATATATGCAGGATTGGGTTAGAAAGCTGAACCCTTAGATTAAAAAGGCTTAATAGGTGCAAAGTGGAACTTTTATTCATTTTTTTTTCTTATTTATACTTACTTGTTATTGGCGTAGAGTTTCAACCCCATAAAAATACTTTACATTTTTATATTACTCCAACAGCTTCTAATTATAAGGCACCTAATACTTTATAGCAGTGTTTCTCAACCTTGACAATTTTAAGGCATGTGGACTTCAACTCCCAGAATTCCACAGCCAGCAATGTTGGCTGTGGAATTCTGGGAGTTGAAGTCCACATGCCTTAAAATTGTCAAGGTTGAGAAACACTGCTTTATAGGACTATATACATCAATTAAACATTAAGTAATGCTGTTAAGAGACAATTTTAGAGACGAATTAACTAAGAATTAAGAGAAGAATTAAAGAGAGGAGAACAATTAACCAGTGGAAGAGCTTGTCTTCAGACATTGTGGGTGCTCCATCACTGGAGATTTTTAAGAAGAGAAGTTTTTAAGAAGAGACTGGACAGCCACTTGTCTCAGATGGCACAGGGCACCAGGGACCGTTCCGTGGAGAGATTTTTTTCCATGGACCGGAGGGTGCATGGTTTTGTGTGCTGCTTGCATCCCACGGATGGGGCTTTGCTTGTTTGTGCGGACCGGTTGCTGATATGCTGCGAGCCAGTACTGGTCCACAGACCGGGGGTTGGGGACCCCTGGTGTAGAGTCTCCTGCTTGAACAGATCCCTTCCACCTCTATTCTAATTGAGACTTGGCTACTATCTTGTAGATTTCAAATACATGTTCAAGAATAGCTTTCTCAATATTAAGCAGGTAGGAAATTTTGGGTGGGGGGGAGGTGTTATAAGGTGGGGAAAATCTCTGAACAGAGATTCTGAGACAAGTGCAGACGCTGGACTTGGTCCAGCTGCCAAATTATTTACCAAATCCCTCTAGAGTTCAGTGGAGCCAGAAGCCAAAGTGATCCGCAGACGCCGATATCTCACTGAACTTTCATTCAAAGCCTCTTAAGTGTCTTCAGCAAAGCAATTTTATTAGCAGCTGCAAAGTTTCTAGCGCGTAATAATTTCTCAGGAGCTAATTCATACCTGAGAAAAATAGATTGAATGCCTGGAAGAAGTCCTTAATAATGGGTGAAGTTCCATTTTTAAAAAAAATAAATTAAACTCCATGGCTATACTTCGCTTTTAATTTAAACAAAAAAGGTGTCCTCAGTTGGACATTCACTGTTTTTCCTACCTTCATTTCTTATTTTTTAACCACTTAGCAGGTCTTCCCTGGGTTCCAAGACTGACAACTCCGGGAAGTCTTTTTTCAAAGATACGGAAACTCCCAAGTATTTGTGCAAACAAACCCTGTTTACACAACAACCTCCTCTATCGTTTACTCCCGATCACCTGGCCAGAACACAGTTCTAATCCCTAAAGCTGACCCAGGACGAGTTTGTTTCAACTTCTGTTTTAATACGGACTAGAGCCAGCGTCTCGCCCTTCTTGTATGGAAGATTCCACCAGGAGAAAAAGGACCCCCATGTGCCCCCCCCCAGTTCCCTTGAGTTGGAAATGTGCCCACAGTTCACCACAGACTTACAGCCACAATTGAGCACAACATTTCTGTAGTTCAGCGAGACATTTGCTAAGTGCGCTCTGCCCCATTTTACAACCTTTCCTATCACCGTTGTTAAGTGCACCACTGCCAAGTTAGTAACCCGGCTGTACAGTGAACTTCCCCACTGACTTTGCTCGTCAGAAGGTGGCCAAAAGGGATCACATGACCTTGGGACACGGCAACGGTCATAAATATGAACCTGTCGCCAAGCATCTAAATTTTGCCCACATGCTCATGGGGATGCTGCAAAGGTCGTAGCTGTGAAAAAAGGTCATAAGTCACATTTCTCAGTGTCCTTGTAACTTTGAACAGTCACTAAATGAACTGTTGTAGGTCGAGGACTACCTGTATACCAGCTCCCTCAAAACATAGGTTTGATTTAGCAGGGAAGAGCTATGGGTTGCTTGCTCCAGGGATCAGAGACCCACATATGTGGAGGTCCAGTGCTGGATACTCACCCTCCAGCACAGGCAATAACTCTTCCTCCGAGTAGCACACCAATTTTAAGCTGCCATCCAGCACATGCAACTGCCTCCCTGCTAATTAGTTAGTCCTCGACTTACAACCGTTCACTTAGTGACCGTTCAAAGTTACAACGGCACTGAAAAAAGTGACTTATGACCGTTTTCCAGTTACGACCATTGTAGCATCTCCAAGGTCACGTGATTAAAATTCAGACGCTTGGCAACTGGCTTGCATTTATGACTGTTGCAGTGCCCCGGGGGATCATGTGATCCCCTTTTGAGATCTTCTGACAAGCAAAGTGTGTGTGGGGGGAAACCAGATTCACTTAACAACCGCGTTACTGATTTAACCCCCACAGCGATTTCATTTAACAATGGTGGCAAGAAAGGTAAAGTGGGGGCAAAACAAATTGTTCACTTACCCACCTCACTTTTGGGGCTCAAATGTGGTCGTAACTCAAGGACTATCTTTTTTTTTCATATATAAGATACTTTTAATAAAATGAAATAAATACATATACATGACTTTTGGTGTTGCTCGCCCATTTCCCCTTTCACTGTATCCACACTCCTTCTTCTCTACCTTCTTTCTCCCTTTCTTCTCTTCCCTGCTTCCCTCTTCTTCCTCTCCTCTTCTCTTTCCTTCACCACTCTCCTCCCCTTTCTCCCCACTTCTCCTCTTCTCCTCCAACCTTCCTACTTCCTTCTCCCCTCCTTCACTCTTTTCTCTCTCCTCTCCTTTCTTCCCTCTCATCCCTCTTCAGATACAATTCAGGGTAACGTCCGAGCAACTCCTCTCTCCAAATTTCCCTATCTATATTATATGCAATAAGATTAATTTTCTCTTACATTAATACTTCCATTTATCTAACCTTCTCGGTATATACTTCTATAAATATTTATACAACCTCCAGTTATTCAATACTGTGTCGCCTGGGTCTCCCTCCTTATCTGCTCCTTAACTCAAGGACTACCTGTACAACACCTGCAACTGCAAGCCGCGCAATCGGCCCCGCAGCTCACGCGCTCTGGCGCGGACAGTCGCGCCCTCCCCCCCCCCCCAAAAAAAAACTTCTCGTCCGGTCGCGCGTCTCGCCCGGGGAACGAATCCCCGTGAGAGCCGCACCTGTCACGAAGGGGTAGCCGCACGCGCCTCGCACGGACCCACCCCCCGCCGTCTGCCTCTCTCTCTCTCTCCCTCCCTCCCCCGCGCCCACCCTCGACGCAGCCTCTCCGCGCGACCCCGCTCACTGGACGCCAAACGGGCCCCGCGTCCTGAGGGAAGCGTCCGCCCGCCCGCCCGCCTGCCCGTCCCCCGCGCCGCTTTCTGCGCTCCCCTCGCGCGGCGCCCTGGGACTCACCTGGCGGCAGCGCTCGGAAGCTTCGCACCGTGTTGCCTTCTTGGAAATGAAGCAGCCGGGACGTTCCGGGCGCCTCGGAGTCCTGAGCCCGGCCGCTGTAGCGGACGTAGAGACGCAGCATGTGTTCCGATACCTTGTCTCCGGCCGAGACCACCGCCGGCGGGGCGGGCTGCTCCACCTCCGCCTCCGCTTCTGCCGCCCGGCTCCTGCGCCCGCCGACGCCTCGCCCTCCTCCGACGCTCCTTTGGCCGAGCCCGCCCGGGCGCTCCCCGGACCCCTCGGCCACCAGGCTGCAGCTAAGCCAGAGGCACCACCAGAGCAGCGCGCGAGGAGAGCCCGCCATGCCGTCCCGCCTTGGGGTGCCGGAGAAGGAGGAGGAGGAGGACTCGCTACTCAGCCGCCCGTCCAACTCCGGAGCGCGCGGAGGGAGCGGGAGCCGAGCGAGCGCAGCCGAGCCCCGCCGCTGCCACGGCCGCGGGTGGGGTGTTGCGGGAAACCAGGGGAGGGGAGGGCGGGAGCTCGGCTGGCGGGGTGGGGGTGAGTGTGAGGGCGGCGGCTCTCAACCTGCCTGAGGTATTTGCCGGCGGGACGAGGGCAGAAGCTGGCGCAAAGCGCCACGGGCGGCGGAGGAGCGCGCGCGCGCGCAGCACCAGCAGCAGCAGCTCCGGCAGGTTCTTTGGCCCCTGCCTGGAGTGGGGCAGGCGCAGCCCTGGGCTGAGTTTTGTACGGCGTGTGTGTGTGTGTGTGTGTGTGTGTGTGTGTGTGTGTGTGTGTGTGCGCGGGTGCGTGTGTGCAGGACTCGCAGCGCCGGCGAAGCGGCAGCCAATCGCGCCGCCTCCTCTCGTAGCCAAGCCGGCTGCGAGAGGGAAAGTCTCACAGTACGGGGGGGGGAGCAGAAGGGGGGTTTGCGCCACCCTCAAAGCCCGCGCGCGCCCGCCCGCGATGCCAAGGCGATCCACAGCGCCGGACTGCTGGATCGGGCGGAGAAGAGCGGTGGGAGAAGAGCGGGCAGGCAGGCAGGCTGGCTTTGCTTTCGACCCACCCGGAGTTGCTGCGGGCTCCCAGCTGCTGCTGGACGGCCCAACCGGTACAGTTGCGCTGGGGAAAGATCTGAGGGGCAACATCTGCTCGTCCGTCCCCCTGTCCGGATTTTACCCCAAGAGGAAGGAGTTTGGGGGTTCGGCCCCTCGAGTGAGCTGCTCGGGGCGAGGTTCTTGGCGTGGCAACAGAAGGCGGCGCTGCTTAATAGGAACCCAAACCGTTTTCTGGGTTTCGGTGTTCTTAGTTCAAATGATCGTGCCGTTTGACACAACAGCCCTGTAAGGTAGGCCAGTATCTTCAGGAGGCATGGTGAGGCTGAGGTAATATAGAAAGATCCAGAGAGAAGAAACATAGGACCTGCCTGGATTGCAGCTTCGCATTCTACCTTTACAAATTTTTGGATAAGGCTAGGAATTCAGGAAGTTGTAATCCCAACACATGTAGAATGTGGCTGTTAAAGCTCAGACAGATCATTTTAAGTTGCCCGGCTCTCCTTCGTTTTGCTCTGGGCTGTCAACAGGCAAAATTGGGGGAAATAGTTCAAATTTACTTCAACTGCTGCCCCTGGGCCAAGGCATGAAATTGGAGTGTTATGGCCTATTGCAGGAGTGTTATGGCCTATTGCAATGAAACTCAATTTCATTGAGGGCCGCATTGGCATTGCGGTTGCCCTCAGAGGGCTGGGTGGGTGTGGCCTACTGGGTGGGTGTGGATGGAGTGGGTGTGGCCTACTGGGTGGGTGTGGCCAGCTCTACACCGTTCACGTCAAAGGTGCCTGTGGGGGCTTGGGCAGGAGTGGGACAGATCTGAGGGTCTCTGGCAGAAGGGGGTGGGACCGGGGCAAGTGCCAAGGCATGGTCCACTGGAGGAGCCTCAGCGTTCCTCTCAGGCCATGCAGGAATGGGGGGGGGGGCTTATGGAGCTAAGACTGAATGCGTTTCAGCATAGATGGCCACCACAAAATTGTGCATTGGCTCCCGGCCGGCCTGGGCCAGGGCCAAGGCAGCGGGGGCCGTTCCCTCACTGTTTCCAAGATGGCTTCACGGGCCACATGAAACCACTTCGCAGGCCGCATCTGGCCCCCGGCCTTGTGTTTGACATGTCTGGCCTATTGCGTTGGCAAAGATGCTCAAATGGTAACTGATTTCAGCTCCTTTAGGTGGACTTTTCTCACTTGGGAAGCAAATGCGATGCAGATTACTAACACTGGCATTTTTTTAACCAATGGACAAATGGTAAGGTGGGTTTGCTTTAGGTCCAAGAAAGAATAAGATATTTTAAGAAGACCTATTCTCTTCTAGCACTGATGATGTTACCTGGTTTGGTAATGAAACACCTGCAAAAAAACAACAACAACCAAGCTCGGAGAATACCAAGAGCTGCTCAGTCAGCAATCTCTCTGGCTTCCCACACTTTGTTCCACCCCAAGGAAGACCTGGGGTAAGAACGTTCACAAGGGCGTTTTTAGGAGAGCTGCCACTTTCACTACTACAAGAAAAGAAATTGAGAAATTGACAATCTGCTTTCCAATGAGAAATGTAGAGAACTCATCTACCCAATTTGATGGGGAATTCGATCCCCATTCTGCAAGATCTATGTAGAAATGTCGTTTAGAAAGATCATTTCAGAAAAACATTGGGAGAGAACACAAGCAACCACTGACTTCAAAACGAAAGTAGTAAATCAAAATGACTAAATGTTTTTAAACTCAAATTGTGTTTTGCATTCACACCATTAAGAATATCAAATGTTATTTTATTTTCATACTTTATTTCTGCTTTGCTTGGCCTGCTAATGAACTGTTAACTGAATTGCTACTAGTAATTACTACTAATTACTACTAGTAGTTACTATTGGAAATGGGTATAAAACCGGACATGTCGTGGGAAGCTAAAATCATAAGACTACCTCTGATTTATTTGGCCATGTTGTGCATGCAAATTTGATGGAGAAGGCGATGCTTTTTTTTTAAAAAAAATAATATTTTATTAGTTTTCCAATTTTACATTTAGGTATTTAAAAAGCAACGTAGTTGACTGGGTTAGTCAATAGTTCGATAACAAAATCTTTAGTACAAATCTCAAGTTGCAACATCAAATATTTCTTTTCTTTTTCCCTTAACATTTACTGTGTCGTATTCAAGCTAGTACAGTTGTTATTGTATCAACTCAATAAAAACATCATTATTACATTTATCAATAAATTTTTAGCCTATACGTATCTTAATTACATTCAGTCTTCATAAACAATCCATATCCTGTTATTAATTTTTACCCAATTTTTTAGTTTCTCATCAATATTCCAATTTAACCTTTGATATTTATAATTTTCAAGCCTTAGGTAACCAAGATTTCCCTTGTCTCAATTCATAACAAAATCTAATATCCAAAATACATATTTTATCTATTTAAATGTAATCTTGTTCTATTTCCTAAAAGTTACCTATGCTTTTGTTTCCCTTGCAAGAAATATTATTTCCTCTCTAAATAAAAATAAAATCCATATATGTCCTTGTCTAGTCACTTCAAACCAGCACCGACAGGGTGGCCTTAAAACCCTTTGGAGAATGCCCAGTCTAAATGTAGTAGACCTTGAAGGGAAAGTTGCTGTCACTTTTTGTGATCTTGATGTAATGTAAAAATGTAAAAAAGATGTTGAGACTCTAGAAAGAGTACAGAGAAGAGCAACAAAGATGATTAGGGGACTGGAGGCTAAAACATATAAGGAACGGTTGCTGGAATTGGGTATGTCTAGTTTAATGAAGAGAAGGACGAGGGGGGGGGGACATGATAGCAGTGTTCCAATATCTCAGGGGCTGCCCTGAAGAAGAGGGAGTCAAACTATTTCCCAAAGTGCCTGAAGGCAGAACAAGAAGCAACAGATGGAAACTAACCAAGGAGAGAAGAAACCTAGAACTAAAGAGAAACTTCCTGACAGTTAAAACAATTAACCAGTGGAACAACCTGCCTCCAGAAGTTGTGAATGCTTCAACACTGGAAGTTTTTAAGAAGAAACTGGACAGCCATTTGTCTGAAATGGTATAGGGTTTCCTGCCTGAGCAGGGGATTGGACTAGATGACCGCCAAGGTCCCTTCCAATTTTATTATTATTATTATTATTATTATTATTATTATTATTAGTAGTAGTAGTAGTAGTAGTAGTAGTAGTAGTAGTAGTAGTAGTAGTATTAAATGTAGTAGACCTCCAAGGTAAAGTTGTTTTGGAACGATCACTGAACACCCATTGATTTGTTTTCTCCAGATGGGTTTGATACACAGTGGGCAAAAAGTAATTCCTTGCATTTGTACCCTGCTCCTCAGCTAATGTTATAAGCTGAAATAGAACACAAGGCAGCAAAGGGCTTCCGTGTGCAAAACCTCCAGATGCGACATTTTGTGGGTTTTGCTAGCATTCTGGTCCTGCCTTGGTTGTGGTTTGGGAATGAAGATCGGATGACGATGGCGAGCAGTGTTGGGCAAAATATTTGAAAGGGATGCTTTACACAACGCCTTGAGTGAAGTAAAATACTTCTCGAAGCAGGAAAGTAGATATGTCATTTGGAGGTCTTGGCCCAAATGTTTCCAAGCCATGTCTTGCTTGTTGATGGGTGAGTGTGCACACACACAGACCATGACATGTGCTGGGACTGCCAGCAAAGCAAAGAAAAGCAGTTGTGTGTACACATAAATATAAAGATGATTAAGAACGTAATGGGACAACTTGCCACAGGCAACTCACCACCACCAAACAACTGCAACCAATGCTTCATGGGCCAGTTTGCCCTAGTCAACTCACTACAGGACAATTTGCCATGGGGAAATTCTACAATTCTATTTAATTTAATTAAGAATTATTTTTGTAATTCACATTTCATTTTGCTCTTCTTTTGGCATCCTTGCTTTAATTATTCGATCCCACCATTTCTTGATATTAGCGTAACTCTTGCCCCAGCAGGTTGTCCTGTGCTGAATGCTCCAACACTGGAAGTTTTTATGAAGAGACTGGATATCCATTTGTCTGAAATGGTATAGGGTTTCCTGCCTGAGCAGGGGGCTGGGCTAGATGACCTCCAAGATCCCTTCCAACTTTATTTATTATTATTATTATTAAGTTGGCCATGGTGAGTTGTCCCATGGCACGTTGGCTCCGGTTGGGTTGGCAGTCATGGCAAGTGGTCTGTGGCAAGTTGTCGTAGACCAGGGGTTCTCAACCTTGGCAACTTTAAGATTTGTGGACTTCAACTCCCAGAATTCCTCAGCCACAAGTCTTAAAGTTGCCAAGGTTGAGAACCCCTGGTCTAGGACAACTTGCCACAGACCACTTGGGGGACCTAGACCTAGACCCAATTAAGAATGCTTTCAAAGCAGCCAAGAATTTCCCAGTCAAAATTTCAGGAACTGATTGCACCCCATTTTTTTTTTAAGGGAAATGAAGTGAAGCTGATGATACAAATACCTCTGCTTTTCACCAAAGTTCTACCCAGATTTACGTGTCTCTGTTCCTTCATTCAGGGATGAAACACAACCTTCAAATCCAATGACACCAGAAATAATGTCGAAGAAGAAGGAAGAACTGTTAATCTGCATTTTTTATCGAATTTTATTGCAGTTAATCTGATTTGGTATCTAGAACAGGTGCTTTTATCAGCAACAGAGAAAT